TAGTTTTATTGAGTTTTAGAGAGAGAGAAAGGGAGAGGGAGAGAGAGATATCAACTGTCTGCTGCCTGAAGCCGACTTAACCATAGATGGAGCCTGAAACCTAGGCGTGTGCATTGACCAGGAATTGAACCAGCAACCCGTTAGTCCATGAGATGATGCTCAACCAACTGAACCACACCAGACAGGGCTCTAGGAATTTATCTTATATATTTCTGAAACCAAAATCATTGTTTGGTGATGGTAGGACATATATTGGATGGGGATGGGGTGGGAGACATTTCACTATATTTTAAAAATATATAAATCAATTTACTCTGGTTACATAAGTTAATTTGGAAAGAAAATCACTAGCTTTAATTCATACAAAAATAATGGTGATGAACTATATATATTTTAATAACAAATCATTATTAATAGTATATAACTTATCTAATGCCATCAGTTAATAATCCTCTTATTATTATTATTATTATTTTAAATATATTGTTATTGATTTCAGGGAGGGAGGGAGAAAGTGAGGGAGGGAGGGAGGGAGGGAGGGAGGGAGGGAGGGAGGGAGAGAGAGAGAGAGAGAGAGAGAGAGAGAGAGAGAGAGAGAGATATCAATGATGAGAGAGAACCATTAATCAGCTGCCTCCTGAATGCCTACACTGGAGAATGATCCCTCAACTAGGGCATGTGCCCTGACCAGAAATTGCAGACTGATCTCCTAGTTCATAAATGGACACTCAATCACTGAGCCATGCTGATGGACAAAAATCCTCTGATTATTTTTCTATGATATCACTTAGTAAATAATAAGGTGGAATTTGAGATCATCTAACACATAACATTTGTGCTCCCTCCACCCCATTAGAAACAGTATTCAGGAATTGATTTCTTCTATATACTTCATGGGGAAAAAATAGCAGATGTGAACAGTTTATGATTTAGACTAAGGGTAAAATTTATGGCAGTTTCTAAATGGTTTAAAATAATTTACTCTTATATATACTACTTTATATCCTTATCAAAATATTAATGTAAAACACTTAACTAGTAAAATGTATTATTTATTTCCAATAATCTTTTTAAGTAATATAAAATCATGCTTTTCATAAAACATATTCCCTGTGGTGATAGAAAACAATTAAAACATTCAATTTTCTTATGCATTAACTTAGTATCTAACTGAGTCTTGACCTATTTTCACACAAGATTAGTTTCTATTCCTTTCAATTTCTGAATTTTAATTTGCAAATGTGTAGAAACTTTATCATTAAGATAAGCAGAGCTGTTTTTCTTAGAAACAAACAGATATTAATTATTGACTTCATATCTTACGCCAAAGATATTCTAGAGAAAGTACAGTATTAAACGTAAAATATTAATAATAACATCACTGGCCTAGCCATTGATGTTTCTCTCTCTTCTTCTACCTTCCTCACTGAAATCAATAAAAATATATTTAAAAATAATAATAATAACAGCCCTGGCTGGATAGTTCATTTTGTTGGAGCATCATCCTATACACCAAAAGTTTGTAAGTTTGATTGCTGGTCAGGGCACATACCTAGATTGTGGGTTTGATCCCTGTTCTCTCTCTCTTTCTCCCCCTGCACCTCACCTTGCTCTCTCTCTAAAATTCAATAAAATATACCCTTTGTAGAGGAATTAAAAACATTAATAACAGAACTAGAATAAAATACTTGCACGGGGAAGCACTTTAGAAGTAGTAAGATATGTAAAAAAAAACCTATTAAATATAATACTTGTGTTATTCTTTTAGAAATTACGTCCAAGTAGCAGAATTAAAAGCAAATGACAACTGGGAATATTTACAACATATATCAAAAGGTAACATTTTTATATGTAAAAAGAACATTCAATAAATGAGGAGAGATAGAGGATCTATGGGAAATTTGAATAAATAATGTAAACAGGAATTTGACATATCAAATAAAATGAAAACAACCAATAAACAAGAGAAAAGTCCAATCACTAAGTAATCAACAAAATGCAAATTTAAATAGCAACGATATGCTATCATTTGTCTATTATATTTTCTTTTAAAACAGGTATTTGTCAAAGTTCTGAAAAATAAGCTCTCTTATGATGTTTGTTGGAACATATTATATTTGTAGGAAGTAATTTGATAATTAAAAACACAAAGCAAGATTTCTATCTGAAAAATTAGAAACATTACTGAGAGATTGAGAGACAACTAAACAAATATAGGAATTCATGCACGGGTGGGGTCTTTTGGAAAGGCTGGTGATTAGGGCCAGCCAGCCGGAGAGGGACTGTGGGAGGGTTACAGGGCATGTTCAGTCCTTTTGCCCAATCCTGATCTGCCAGATCCCAGGAGTAATCTAATCTACAGGTCAGAGCATCTGTCTCCTGGTAGTCAGTGCATACCATAGCAACTGGTCAAGCAGTCAACTGATCCACGGGACACTTAGCATATTACACTTTTATTATATAGGATAACTTGTTCCTATATTGGAAGGAACCAATTGAAGGAACATATTGGAAGATCCAATATTGTAAAGATATCAGTTCTCTTCAAATAATTTGTGAATTCAATGTAATCTCAGTCAAAGTAGCAATAGCTAGTTTTTAATAAAAACTGATATGACACCTATAAGATTTATATGGAAATACAAAGCCCAATAATATTAAAGATAATCTTGAAGAATAATAAGGTTTACAGCATAGGGAAAATAGTCTGTAATATTGGAATGAGTATAAGTGGGGCTAGGCGGGTACTTGAAGCAGTGGGGGGACCACTCTGTTAAAATACATGGTTTTCTAACCACTTTTTTGTACATCTGTAATTAAAACACAATGATATTGAATGTAAACTGTAACTGAAAAATAAAATATAAAATAAAATGTATTTGTATACTTAGTGTCTTTAGCCTTGGGAATAAAATAGGGTGCTTACAACCATATATCATTATTTATTATTATTAATTCTCTATGGTATTGCTGTAAGAACAAATAGACTAGAATATTCACTTAATTTATGATAACAGTGTACTTCAGTTAAGTGAGGAGTGAATGATTCCAATAAATGGTTCCAGATATGCAGAAAAAGACACATATATCATAAAAGCATTATTTATAATAGCCTCATACTAGACACAACCCAAATGAATACCACAGTAGACTGGGTAAACTGTGGCATATCCACACAATGGAACAGTGTAAAGAGAATTAATTAACAAGACAATGACACACGAACTATTATAGAAAAACTAGAGGCCCGATGCATGAAATTCACCTCAACCCAGCAGGCACTGCCTCCAATCTCGGACATCCCTCTAACAATCCAGGACTGCTGGCTCCTAACTACTCGCCTGCCTACTTTCCTGATAGCCCCTAACCTCTTCTGCTGCCAGCCTGATTACCCCCTAACCACTCCCCTGCCAGCCTAATTTATTTCTAACTGCTCCCCTGCCAGCCAGTTTGCCCCTAACTGCCCTCCCCTGCCAGCCTGTTGGCCCCTAACTGCAGCCTGGGTGAGGGGCTTGTGGTGGTTTGTAGGCTGGCTAAGCCCCCAGACAACCCAAGTGGAGGCCCTGGTATCTGGGATTTATTTATCTTCTACACTTGAAACTTTGTAGCCTGGAGCAGAGCCAACCCTCCTGTTCGCTCTGTGGCAGCAGCCATTTCTGTTGGGAATAATTTATCTTCTATATATTTGTAGCCTTAAGCGGGGGCCTGGGCCTGCCAGGGTGTGCTGAAAACTTGGCTTCCTCCATTGCCAGGGAAACCCAAGCCTCCCTCCTGCTTGCTCAGTGGCCTTAGCCATCTGGGTTGGGATTAATTTGCATACTCTATCCTGATTGGTGGGTGGGTGTGGCTAATGGGTATAGCAGAGTTATGGTTAATTTGCATATTGCTATTTTATTAGATAATATCTCACAATAGTAATGTTGAATTGGAGAAAACAAACCTAAGGGCATCTATTCTATGATTCCACTCATTAATTTCAATGACAGATAAAACTAATATAGGTGTTAAAGTTCATAAGAGTGCTTATCCTTGGATAAGGCCAATAGCTTGGAAAGGGTTAATAACTAGAAAGGAGCATGAGAGAGACTCCTGGGCTAATATTCTAATTCTTGATATGCATACTAGAAGGATGTCTATGCTAAGTTTTAAATAATCCATCAACTTCTTATGATTTGTGCACTTCTATATGCATCTATCCTTCAATTTAAAAGATTACATGAAAACATTTTAAAATTTTAAACATATTCATTCCTTTCAACCAAAAAATTTTACATCTATAAATTTTCCTAGGGGAATATTAGAAATATACATAAAGACATATGATAAGAAATCTCAATGAATTCTGTCACTTATACCAGTGAAAAACTGAAACAAAATCCCTCAAGTAAAATAAATTGCATTCATATAATGGAATTCTTGGCATCCTTGAACATTCCTATCATGAAAAACATTCTATTATGTTGAAAAATATTCATGGCATATTAATATGAAAGCATATACCAAACATAAATTATCTTTGATATTCTGTATATATTTTACAACTCAGTATCTACACATAAAGATACACATTTAAAAAAATAAATGGAAATACCTGCACCAAGTATTAGCCATGGTTTTGGGGGCTGTTACCAATTAATAATTTTTTAATTTAAATGTTAATATATTTTGGCTTTTTCCAAAGTTACCACACAGATTGTGACATCCCTCCCCCACCCATGACCTCACCCTCAGAGTGGCCAGTGGAACCCTGAGGGGTCTGTGAGGTCACCCCATTCCGCTCCACAAACACTCTCTTGGGGGCAGCAGCCACTGGCTGTCTGTCCCAGGGAAGCTTCAGGGACCCTGGGACCCTGGGATTGTGGCCAGGAAGAAGATCCTGAGAGGACACTCCAAGTGCTAACCCAGGGAGGCCAGAACCAGGGACAGAAGTCTCGTGAACGTGTGGAGTGTCATTCAGCAGTTCCAAGAGGCCCACTGCCACCCACCACTAGCAGGCGACCATGGTCCTCAATTGGCTAATGCTTCTGGTGATGGCTCTGCCCATAGTCATGACAGGCACCAAGGACCGTATTTTCTATGATCTGACGGAGTCCTTGACCTGTCCTGGCATCAACAAAGGCTGCATGCTGTCCACTCCCTATGAGTACATTGGAGAGCTTGTCGCCTACCAACTAATCTCCATCTGCCATTATGGTGAACTGTGTAAGAGGGCCCCAACCCCTGCAGATCGCCTGAAGGCTGGGATCACCACAGGCCAGATGCTGCGTGTGCTGCTGCTACTTCAATGACTGTGACCACGTGGAGGGTAGCATCTGGGACTAATCTAAGGACCCCGCTGCTCCTTGTGCCTCCTGCCCCCTTTTCCCCTTCCCTTGGCCCGCATTCCATGGCCTGAGGCCTTAGACAAAAAATAAAATAAGAATTAAAAATCTGTGTAGTAGTTTTTCATGGGAATGATAATGTAACAGATTTTAGAAATAAGTAATAGTTATTGGGTTTTTATAGCTATGAGGAGTGATGAGTTGAGGCGACTATCCAGATAATCTAGGACCAGAGGCCAGACTTCTTTAAATTGTGAAAGGCTATTGCTTAAAAAACAAACAAACAAACAAACAAACAAACAAAAAACATAGTTTCACACTTACATCAGAAATTCTACTTCTAATAATTTGTTAATGCAATAATGATATGTATAAATATTAAACTATAAGAATGTTTGCTACAGCCTCATTTATAAAAGCAAAACATGCTAACTGAAATGGTATAGATTAACAATTATGGAACATTCATTCAGTGAAATACTCTGTGGCTATTTAAAAAGTGATCAGCAGATGAGTGGATTAAAAATCTGTGGTACATTTACACAATGGAATACTATGCTGCAGTAAAAAAGGAGTTCTTACCATTTGCAACAGCAAGGATGGTACTGGAGAGCATTATGCTAAGTGAAATAAGCCAGTCAGAGAAAGATAAATATCACATGATCTCACTCATTTGTAGAATATAATGAAAATAGAAACTGATAAACAAAAACAGATCCAGAGACAGGGAAACATTGATCAGACCATCAAATATCAGAGGCAAGGTAGGGGAGGATGTGGGTAAGGGGTGGAGATCAACCAAAGGACTTGTATGCATGCATATAAGCCTAACCAGTGGACACAGACAACAGGGGTGTGAGGGCACAAGTGGGGGGTTGGGAGGGTAATGGGGGGATAAGGACACATATATAACACCTTAATCAATAAAGAAATAAAAAAAAAAACAAAGTGATCTAGATGTATATTTAGCAATAGGAAAAATGTATAATTTACCAAAACTTTTGCAATTTTTGGGTTAGGGGCCATCTTTTCTTAGTTGTGCTTTTAATTTTTCTGCAATGAATATTTACTACTTTTAATATGAAAATAGCATGTGTGTTCCTCCTCCGGAAACAGAATATTTGTGTAGTACTTATAATATACCAAGCATTATTCTAAGTGTTTTTTAATATATCAACATTTAATAACAACCCTATTATGTAGGTACTATTATTGCCCCTATTTTACATATGAAAAGCTGACTCAGAGAGGGAAAGTGACTTGCCCAAATTCACACAACCAATCAAGGTAACTAAGCTAGAATTTGAATCTAAGATGCCAAGCTTAGAAGCTCGTGCTCTTATCCATTGTACCATTTTGTATCTCATCCCTTTTAGCTGTATCATTTTGAGAAAACATATGAGTACAAAAATAAGTCCACTTTCTTTCACAGCATTTCCTTGAGTAAACTCCTATAGCTACTGATTTAATCTTACTACACTTTCTTCTTAATTTTGAAGGTATGTGGGATGATAAAGTCCTATTATCATTGCAACTACTAAATTCAACTTCCCAAATTACCACTTATTTTCTTGTTTAAATCATACAACTGATTCCTAATAGTTTCCAAAGTCTTAGTCTGCTTTTATAAAACAAGCTCTCAATAATCTGACTTTACTACTCTCCACATCTTTTTGATAACAAAACTCCATTTGTTCAAAAGAGTGACCTCATTGTTCCTGGTATGACCCTTGACTTTTCTTCCTTCTGTTCCCCTGTCATTGTCTACTTTGCCATATAAAGGTCTTCATTTCCTTGAATAAAAGACTTCCTTTCTTAATTAACGCATAAACACACACACAAAAAAAAAACACCACAAAACACACACACACACACAAAAACAAACAAACAAACAAACAAACAAACAAAAAAAAAACCTTCCCTATTCTTCATGTTTTGGGTAATGAAAGTGCCAATATTCTGAAGGAAAATTGCCTGATCCCTCATATGAAAATGATTATTCTTTCTAATAAACTGTAGCCCAAATTCACGCATTTATTATGTGTGCTACTCCAACAGACCCTGTCAAGTATTGGGGTTTTTCTTCATTTTAACTATTCTCATTCAACTTGTATCTTCTTCCTGTGCTTCTTTCCAAAAGCTTGAAAGTAGGTACACACACACACACACACACACACACACACACACACACACACACACACACACACACACACACACACACACACACCATATACATTAGCCACAATTGAATTTTACAACTTTGTATACCCTTACCACTTTTTCTTATGAATAGTCACACAAAATAATCAACATTTACTAATAGAACAGAGAAGAGAGAAATTAAACTTGAGGATTAAAAGCAGAACTCTCTTCAGAGTACTTATGTTCTTACATACATTGCATTTCTAGCTCGGCTTCTTGTTTTAGCCTATTTGTGAATGCCCAAGCTCAGTAGAACAGTAAGAATAGTTCTTGTCTGGCTGTTTTACTGGGGAAATGTGATTAGAAGAACATGGTAGGATCTGTTCAGTCAAGAAAACTAACAAGCCCAGCTGGTGTGGTTCAGTGGTAGAGAGTAGACCTAAGAACTAAGAGGTCATGGTTCAATTCTGGTCACATACATAGGTTATGGACTTGATCCCCAGTGGGGGCATGCAGAAGGCATCCAATTAATGATTCTCTCTCATAATTGATGTTTCTACCTCTCCTCCCCTTCCCTTCCTCTCTGAAATCAATAAAAATATTTTTAAAAAAATATGTTTTATTGATTTTTTACAGAGAGGAAGAGAGAGGGATAGAGAGTTAGAAATATTGATGAGAGAGAAACATCGACCAGCTGCCTCCTGCACACCCCCCACTGGGGATGTGCCCGCAACCAATGTACATGCCCTTGGCAGGAATCGAACCGGGACCTTTTAGTCCACAGGCCGATGCTCTATCCACTGAGCCAAACCGGTTTTGGCAATAAAAATATTTTTAAAAAGAAAATTAGCAATATAGGTAGAAGACTCAATTTTTGACATTTTTTTATGTTGATGTCATGGAATCTGGAGCTAGAGGCAATTCTGGATATGCCTTAATTAAAGCATGGGCAGGAATACTGCCCAGGCAATTAATTCAGTTAATATTTACCCAGTAAGTTATTTTTCTTGTCACTGTCCTATATAGTATCTATAAATCTATCACTTTTTTAGTTGATTCAAGTTGCCTGTTGTATGGCTAAGTATAACCTTCAATGCCAAGACCCTTCTACCTTAAAAATTATACACCCTGAATGCATTTTAAACAAATACTTTCTTGCCATCAACCAAAATAAACACACACACACACACACACACACACACACACACACACCTCTCCAAATTTAGCAATGCTGATTAAATTATTTAAGTAGAACATTATCTTCCTTTGGATAAAATATGTGTGGTATGAAATATTTGGAGACCTCATTTCACCTTGCATATTTTTAAACCTCAGTGAATTAAAACTACTAGAGGACCAGAATTTAGGAAATATATATTCTCAGGCACAATTCTCTCTCTTCTCTCTCTCTCTCTCTCTCTCTCTCTCTCTCTCTCTCTCTCTCTTTTTTCTTTTTACAACTGGTTTCATGGTAAAATATCCCTCAGTAGGAGGTCATTTATTTTCTTTCCCTCTGGTAATTTAATAAAAGAATAATGACCATAAAACTTGAAAAAAAAACATTATGCTACCAGCCATTTAAAAATTATAAATCCATATACAATTTTCAAATGACCAATTACAATTCATTTTTAGGACAGTCACCCTTCAATGGCATAACTAATTATGATTATACTTGAATAGTAAGTGGATTTTCTCTTTATAGCATGTGGTCATTACTTACAATGTTTAAAAATCTATATTTCCTACATTGCTTCCAGTTTTAAGTGAATACACTAGTGAAGTCTAAGTCTCCTGTATGAAATCACACTGTATATCAGTTTTGTTGCATAACCACTTCATTACCACATCTGAATTTTGTTATTGTTGCTAATGATCTGAAATGCTTAATACATGGTGAGATAAATGAATATTTCTAGGGAGATTTCAAAGTCAGTAAAATTCGATGTACAATAAACAGGTTTGCAGTCTTTGGAGAACTTAACCCTTATTACCACACTAAACCCATATTGGCTTTTATTTTATTTATTTTATTTTATTTTTTTAATATATTTTATTGATTTTACACAGAGAGGAATTGAGAGGAACAGAGAGTTAGAAACGTCGATGAGAGAGAAACATCGACCAGCTGCCTCTTGCACACCCCCTACTGGGGATGTGCCCGCAACCAAGGTACATGCCCTTGACCGGAATCGAACCCGGGACCTTTCAGTCCGCAGGCCGATGCTCTATCCACTGAGCCAAACCGGTCTCGGCCCATATTGGCTTTTAAATAAACCTTGGTGTTCAAGATTAGTATTCTTGTTCATTAATTCCTCAGTTTGCAGTATAAGCAACTAACTCCATGGTACAAATAATCATTAATATTACACATAGTTAATTAAAAATAATTTTTACTATTTACCTTGGTTCAAACCTATCCTGAAGTTAGGTAACAAGCCCTATAAGAGCTTCCAGAGGCATTAGACAAATAAAATCCAAAGACATTAGACAAATAAAATGAATTTGGGAAATTGATTTGCCCAAACTTCAATATCTATCATTTATCTTCTATAATGGATTTTATTGGGATTTATACCCACCTATCCAACAAGCCACACAAATTTACTATATATGATATGATTTTGATCACAGACTGTTTAAACCCTAGGACAATAAAACTCACAAAGACATTAAAATGTAATTTTGTATGAGATACATACACACTCCACAGACTGTTTTTACAAATTAACCCATGCTTTCCTCTTTTGCTCTCTTCCAGCCCATACTCTTTTTAAAACAAGGAAAACACTATTTTATTTTCATGCTCTCCCATTAGCAGTATT